TGGAGGCACATAAATCAGAAGAACCAAGTTCTGTACCTTCAGAGCATAAAATGGCCGCCACAAATAAGCAACTGTGTCATTTTGAGTTCTCAAATAATGCATATAACGTCGATCAACTTTGGTTGTTTTGTGACGTTCCAGNCTTCAGAGCATAAAATGGCCGCCACAAATAAGCAACTGTGTCATTTTGAGTTCTCAAATAATGCATATAACGTCGATCAACTTTGGTTGTTTTGTGACGTTCCAGAGGTGAAAAGATATGAAAGAAATAAAAAACCCACCTTAGTTAAGGTTTGCAGATGGATGTGCTTTAGCCCTTGATAAATTCCAAAAAGGTCAATTGCTGAGAAGATTGGATATATGACAAACGGTAAACCTGCTTGCAATCTAGCATATCATCAAGAACTTTCAGTCAATGTATTTTAATCAATATACTAATTGTTTACTACTTTCTAATCACATATTTACAGGGAAGACAAGTGACAGTATAAACATTGTTTTAGCATTCAGTTCACACATGTACATCTTTCAAATCAAAAACATAGTCAAGAAAAGGAGAAGGGAAAACCTACTAATGTCAAACTGCGGAAAAAATCAGTCTACTGCCGTCTGAACAGCAGCACATGGGAAGAAAGATCATCAAATATCAACTTGAGAGTAAAACTAGGATGATTCAGTAATTTAAAATCTGAAGTTGGGAAGCAAGCATGAACCTTTGATTGTTTTTGAACAAAATATTCAACAGTGCAGCAAGCATAAGCCCAAGGTTATCAAAGCACACTGTTTGAATCTGAAACTCAAAAGAAAAAAAAAATTAATGTGTAGTTGTGCACCACAAAAAANTGAACCTTTGATTGTTTTTGAACAAAATATTCAACAGTGCAGCAAGCATAAGCCCAAGGTTATCAAAGCACACTGTTTGAATCTGAAACTCAAAAGAAAAAAAAAAATTAATGTGTAGTTGTGCACCACGTAAAAAAATATAAAGCATGACAAAAGAACCAATCCACAGAAAAATTATAATCAACCTGAGCCTTGGCAGAAACTTCACCGAGGTTGTCTGCTATTGCAAAGCTTTGGTGAACAGCAGTCTGTTAGTATAGCATAACACGTGAGAGAATGAACCCTTTTCTGAATTACCAGCAAAGAAGAAAATTCATCGCAACCTCAGGCTTTGGACAATGAGAATTCATCAGGTAGGAATTGCAGATAAAACCATTCAAATCAAGAAGTGCACAAAAAACCCAGAAGAAATAAAGCATGTAAATCTGACCGCTGCAATATGGGGGTCACTACACACTATGATGTATCCATGTTTGTCCAAATTTTGTTTGAAACTCATTTTTTTTTTTGGTAAAAGCAAACCGATGATGCTTTATGATGCTCCAGTGTACAGGGGCTTTTAATAAGCTTATTTCAAAACACAGTTTATATCTGGTAGGATCATTGGTTGGAACTTCAGGATGATCAAGCACACATGGGCTTTTAGTTAAGAATAGGCAGTGATCTCTATGCTACAAGCAGAGCTTTACATGACTGCTTCTCTCAAATTGTACACAACATTTTACAATTGATTCATTTGCCATCAATAAGGGGAAAAAGATTTGCTTTAAACTTCGTGAGAAGCACCACATTCAAACATAAAAATAAACAACTGCCATGAAAAATAAAATTTTAAAGGAAATCAATCATTAGAAAATGATTATTAGTTAATGTTCCAGATTGTGTCTAATGGTGATATCAATCTTCAGAAAAGAATTCAAATGAAAATGAGCATATGTTACATGAAAAAATCAGAAAAAAGCTAACAGATTGGTGGGGCCTGAAACTTACACCAGTTGCCNAAATGAGCATATGTTACATGAAAAAATCAGAAAAAAGCTAACAGATTGGTGGGGCCTGATACTTACACCAGTTGACAGGTAGCACGCGAGGCTTATCTGCTTTGCAATGTTGGCTACAGATGCGAGAAGCAAAAAATATTGGGGAAATGCAGGAGTCAGCAACTCAACTCCAATGCCCAAACTGAACAGAACCGATGTTGAGAACCTAACTCTCTTCAAGGGAGACAATTACACATTAATTATTTAATCATACTCAGAGTACCATATTATAGGTTCAGACTATAAAATACTTGATTTGCAATTTTTTCACCACAATTTAGAAATCAAGGAATCTTCCAATACTTCATCTAATATGTACCACCAAAATTTTCCAAATACAGAAACGAAGATTGATAAGCGATAATTGCAAAGAAGTACTATTCAATATTATGAATATTGTACTACTAAATAATAGTGATTGCATAATGTGGCACCCACATTTTGGTGAGGAAGTAATTATACCTTCAAATTGGTATCAAAAGCAGACGCTAGGCTAGCAGTATATATGCACCTACTAAGGCGTCCAAGCCCATCCTTCAAAACCCAATTCAGGGCAGCAGCTGATGCAAGTGAACGCGAGTATCCAATTCCAATTGCCCGAAACATTGCCTGATAATAACCCATTCACACTCAAATAAGTGATGGCATAAACTAATTTCCCAAGTAGATGACAGTTCAAACAAGAAAGAACAAACAATAGCCTTAACAAAAATAAGAAAATCAACCCTCCAATGGGAAAATTCCCCCAGATCTCCCCTGTTCATATTAGTGAGACAATGAGTAACTCACTTTCCACAAGAATCCATAGGACTCAAAATATATGGAAGTACATACCTTTGAAATTCAATCACTGAAAAGAAAAACAATTTACCTGGGTTGCGAGAACTTGCAGTGCAGAACTGAAGACTCTATGCAAAAATTTCCACTTCACATACTCCAAATAATTCTCACNATACTCTAAATAATTCTCACTCACTTCCCTCGGAAGAAAAAAATTCCTTATACCCGAAACACACCCGCTAGCCAACTTCCGAAACCCATCTTCGAAATCTAAAGAAAACGGCGACAACGAAATCCTTGCACTTCCGTCAACAGAAACCAATTTCAAGTCATCTCCGTCCCATAAGTAGCGAGAAACACTACCAGAATTGCGAACTACGACAGGAAGACGAAGAGGAAAAGTTGGTTGGTCTTGTTTGTCGAGTTTTTCTTCTTCGAATTCGAAGCCGAATAATGGTTTTAACGAGTTCGAGAGAGTTAATGGTTTAAGAGAGGGTTTAAGTGTTTGGGGTGTGAGAATGCGGGGTTTCTGAGGTTTCCATGGTAAGTGAGGATGAGGAAGGGAATTGGAAGCAACATATATGGTGGATTGCATTTGAAATTGATTGACTTTATTGGTACGCTGGTGGGTGGGTTTGGGAGAAAGAGAAAGACCGAGTGTGTGTGTGTGAGAGAGAGAGAGAGAGAAGTTGAAGCTGAAAGAAAACGGCCACCGCCTTTGATGTTTTCCGCGAAATTTTGATATATTTTGAATTCTGGTCGGTAGTGGTGGAGTAGGGTTTAAGGAACCCGGTGCCCGAAATCCGGATCCGAATCCGGGTCATAGCGCTCTTTCATTAAAACTGTGACAAATAGAGTCTTTTTAGATGGTTGGGTTGAATTAGATCGAAGATCTTAAAAATCCACTTATTATTAGACGGGTTAAGATTTAATAGCTACATTATATTATTTCTAATATTTTCATAACATAAGCACTTTTATAGGATTTATGGGGACGGGTGATAAGATATGATACCATTGACTATTTTGCTTCTAACATATCCAGTCCAATACAATGTTCAGTTTATAAATTAACCTTTGAACAATTCAAAACAAAATTTTCTTATATGTATTTTTAAAAAGTATTGTTTTTCTTATATGTATTCAAAACAAATACATATAACAAAATTTTCTTATATGTATTTTTTTAAAAAATATTTTTTATTAGAGTTAGTTTATTATTTAAATTAGTTGTCTTGTTAGAGAAGACGTCTTGGTCTTCTTGATGTATGTTGACAGAACTTAATTTTGACAAACAAATTTATTGAAAAAAAAAACAAATTTGTGCAAAACTAGGAGGAGATGAAGTAGACGTGAGAGAGGAGATAACAAGACAATTCGGTCATTTGTATTAATTATCTTGCCTGGCAAAAAAAATTTCAGCCCCCCTTAGGTTTCATTTAACGTAGATGGTTTAAAATTGACTTTTCAAACCGGAATATGATAAAATCCTAATAGAATTTCTAATATATTTTTTACTTAGCAAACGTGGGATATATGAGTCTCACACACTTTTTTATCTTATCCTACTAGAGTTATCCCCTTTTACTTGCAATCCAAACATACTCATAGTATCACCAACTAATAAGCATACATCATATCACACCAACCTTAGAATAATAAACCCCAACCCCAAAGGTAACTAAAGTAGTAAAAGAGATGAATTGTAAAATTCAGACGTCTGAGTTTAATTCTTCTCAATTTCTAAGGGTCAGGTCATAAGAAATTTATCTCTCATGAATATTGTAGTTAGATGACGTGTCTTTGACACTGACCAAGGAGAAAATTTGTCGAGGTACGCGTAAATTAGTCCAAATACCCTGACCGTTGAATCAAAAAAAAGAATAGTAAACTCCATTATTTCAAGGTGTTAGTTAATCAGTAAATTATTAGAAATTATTAAAACAGTGAGATTCACTTATCTTAAATGAGGTATTTTTATTAGTTAGTGATGCCTAGTGTCACCCATAGCTTGATATTATTGTTATAATGAATATTTTCTCTAATTTAAGGCACTGCTAATAGTAAATGGAACCTCATGATTCAAAGATGGGGGAAAAAAAAAACATAGTAGAACAATCTAGACCCATGGTTAATTTGGGTTTGTTCCTCCTAGTTGTAGTGGAACCGTCTAGACAGGCTTGACTTATTTAAGTACAAATATTCGAGTTCAACTCAAATTCGATTCATTTTGGACTTGACTTATTTTCTAAACAAGCTGAACTTAAACAATCGTAGGTTCGGTTAAGAAAATAAACATTTTAAACTCNCTTATTTTCTAAACAAGCTGAACTTAAACAATCGTAGGTTCGGTTAAGAAAATAAACATTTTAAACTCAACTCAAACTAATTTGACTATCAACCAGCCTATAACCAATCAATATTTGTTCTCAAGCTTTTTCGGAATAATTTCATGGCAAACTCTAACTCAAGGAAAGGTGACAGAATGGAAGGAAGAAGAGATTAAAACATGCAGGATTATGAAGGATATTGTCAAACAAAACTAAAAATTATAATAACACACCATCATTATCAAAAATGAATAGAAAAGTAACTGGAGCCTTACAACAGGACTCATCCACAAAATTAAAGACAAAATTCAGAACCCAAACAAAAAAAATAAAAATTCTTGCTACACTATTATTTATAAAATCCACAGGGGTGAATACAGCCAAAGAAAATAATTGGCAACTAAAAGTAGTAAGCTAAAACATACAATTAGAACGCCACATTTTTGCTGTCAAACGAAGCAAAAATCAACCCAACACAGCAGCAGCATCTAGCGAGAGGGAAAGAGAGAACCTAGAGGAATGCTTCTATACTATCAGTTCCACCCCTGGCTCTTCACTATTCTTTGCTAGATGCTCCATAACTTTTACTACTTCATAGAACCTTCGTCGGGATGTTGGCAGCCTTGAGAGCATCAAACAAAAGCCCTGTAACCTAGTCACATTATGAAACTGTGTGAGACAGAAAGATCTGTTTTGGAGGGTAGATTGGGGAGACAGGGAAATGAGGAGGAGGGCTCAAAGAACGAGCTGAGCCATTCAAAGACAACAGCGAACAGCCATTAAGTGATTCTGGAAATATGGACTGCAGCATAATCCACAATGATATAACTAGTAATGATGTACGGAGTATTTTGCCCTAAGAAAATGAGCACAAAGCAAGTGACTACAAACAAGGTACAAAAATGAATTCTAAGTACCTTCTACTCATTCCCTCTAACTGAGCTCTTCTAATCTCATCTTGAGGAGGAATGCTACCGTTCTGCCAAGATTCAATTCTTCTTGTATCACCACTGTACAGACAGAGCTCATGGAAATACAACTCTTCAGTTTCCTGTAAATCCAGACTCCTAATTTGCTCCTTCATGATACACATGGGGTCATAAAGCCATTCAAAAGCTCTTCCCTCTGGTCTATTAACACTGGTAATTTCAATATTATCACCTAGCATGGAAAAAAAATAATTGTTTCGATATAGTTTCCTCGCTTGCTATGCCAACATAATCACCATAATCCACAGAAATTAGAAACTAGATGATATGATTGCCAGTTAATATGCACAATTACAGGATGCAAGCCCCATCTGAAGCGATGACTTAATCTCATTAACTAAACTTCAATACATGGTAAAAAACTGCTTGGATCAGTAAAACATAAAACAAATATACAAAACAGATAAATTGCTTTGACCAAATTACTTCTTGGGTGCAGTGTTTGAAACATTGTAAAGTTGAAGAAAGGAATAAAGACGCAAACAAAATAGACTATAGAATCAGAACAATCATTTATCATGGTCATATGAATCTGTCTTGGTCATCACGAGTCCCAATGTTTTTCAGCCAACTATGGGACTTATCAGTACCACCAATGTCCATGTAGTGCAAAAAAAAAAAACACAACTAAATACAATCTTGGAATCATTAAACTATACTTACACAGGATGAATCCAGGGGAACCACTCTTGTTAGAGCAAAGAAAGCACTCAAGAAATGCACAAGCAGCAATTCCAATGTTAATTTATCTTATTCTTCGACTGTTTCCATGCATCAATATCTGCAAATCTGATGGCACCAGCATTAAGAAGCTCTTTGCCAATATCCTCACATGTTTTGAAAAAAGCATCCCATATCTACACAAGCATGAGAACCAATAGTCAACATTTATATGAAGTACTTGAAACAGCAGAAGCCTTCTAGAATGCTGGCTTATTAAGCTGGTAAAATCACTCTGTGCTACCAAGGACTATATGCCTGTTTTTGCACAGAGATGGTGCTAAAAATACCCAAATCAATGAGTTTAGATAAGCCTGTCATTGTCGAAATTATAGCCTCTACAGCTCGTTTTATTGTTTAAATCTTCCTTGATAACACATTCATGGTCAGAAATCGCACAACAACATAGAATGGGAGATTGACCACCACATCACTCTGTGACAAGAGAGCTTGGTTTACAATAAACTCGCTGAATGAAAGTGTGGAAGAACAGAGGAAGTCTCAAAAATGAAGAGGCTTAATGAAATAGTATAATCAGAAACAAAGCTTTACAATAAGAGTACTTCTCTTTCCTAGAGTAGACCGAGGAGGAAGGAAATCAAGCATGTTTAGGTTTGGAGAACAATCATAACAAAATAAAACAGATAAGTATAGAAGTCTGAACAGAATGACCAACACCACCAGATAAAGAGTAGTGCTAATATTTGGTTCGCATCATATATTTTTTTGTTGATATTGTTCCCTATTTTTGCCCAAGCACCATGATTAAAATCTCATATCAACTTCAACTCTGAAACACTTAAAAAAAAAACAACATAATATCTGCTTAAAAAAACATAGGAAATCTTCAAATATATGCCAACACTTACCTTGACAACAAACAATAAACAATAACATCCAGCCAACATATAATATTTGCTTGTAAAATGTTACATTTTTTCAAACAGGATTTGACAGGGGAAGCTCAGATTAATTCAATCTTACCACTACAGTTATCAGAGACTTCATTTTTGCAGAAGGTGTGCTTATCAAAGGTTTGTCACCACTAACAATCTCCATATGGTTATACAGTCCCACTACAGGAAGCAATGAATTGGAATCAACCTGGTCACGGTATCTTGGTCTGGCTGCCCACATAATCAGAGGCTATCACACAATTCAATGATGCACAGCTCATTTTTAAACCACAAGATAACAGCGCACATGAATGGGCTAATATGCATGATTGAGATTGTTAGAGTATGTGTGGCTCATATATTGTTGTATGCACAATGGCAAGGAGGGTAGATGTTGGAGCAGGATTGATATATTTTATATATGGGGGGACGCTGATTAGTTGGGGGTGCGGGGGCAATGCCCCCGCGGTACGGTACAGGAGTATTTTGTAAATACGTCCGTACTAGGGTTATATAAATACTTAAGATGTAACCCTACTTTGAATGATTAAAAAAGAAAGGCCGCTCGCTCCTGTGGATGTAGGCACATTGCCGAACTACGTAAATCTGTGTGTTATTTTCTCTTCCTTTCTTAATTGATTGATTCCTTATTATTCACCA